GTTCTTTCTTCTCGTTGGAGAAACCTGTGGAGTTACACCTCACATCTCAACTTTGAGGACCGTAGCTCGATGGAGAAGATTATCAGGGCTTCAGAATTGCACAGTGTCAGTGTTGAGAGGGAAAAATATGTAAAGTGGGTGGATTCGGTTCTCCAATCACACCGAGGGTCCACCGTGAAAGAATTAAGAATATGCTTTAGTTTAGTCGAATCAGCCAGAAAGTCAATTACGAAGTGGCTTGAATTTGCTTTCGAGAGGCACATCGAAAAGTTGGAGTTGAACCTTTCAGATGGTGACTTTATTCATGACCCAGATGAAACGTACGTGTTTCCTCAAGAGTTATGCAATTCAGACGGTCCTTACAAATCTAGTAGACTTTTCAACTGTAAGTCCATAAAAATGTTGTCCTTGGGCGGTATTGAAGTCTCTGGTGAAACTATTGAGTTTTTCTTACGTGGTTGCCCATTGCTCGAGCAGTTAATTGTCCGTGACTCCAACTATTTGACAGGTCTTGAAGTTTGCGGACCATCCCTTGTATTAAAGCATTTGGAGATATGGGCTTGCGTTTTTTTAAAATCCTTAAGAATTTCTGCTCCCAAACTAACTTCACTTGTACTTTATAGAATAGAAGGCCTCTTGCTTGAGGATGTTCCAATGCTTACTAGTGTTTATGTGACCTACGCGGACTCTTTGATTCCTTCTATATATGTAGAGAGATTAATTTCTACAGTACTTTGCCGTCTTTCCCAATTGGAGATTCTCACCTTTGACATTTATTTTCAGAAGGTAAGGTGTCTTTCTACATTGGTTTATTTTTCACTTAATGAAGCTTAGTGATTGTAAAGTAAATATAAAACATGATACTGGAGCCCTATTGTTGATTTGACAATCATCACGTGGTTAAATTTGGTGGGTCATATAATACACAAATGATTGTCAAATTAACAGTACTAACATGAAATTATTTTGCAAATGTTATATATTGGATTTTTTTTTTTAAAAAAAAACTTTATCTTTTTGTTATTGCAGGAGCTTTTATCGATGCTCAAATTCCCCATGATGCCTAAACTTAAGAAGTTGGTCATCATTGAAAGTTTACGTGGTGTGGACTCGAGTCTTCTTGGCTTAGCTAATTTTATCAGTGCATCTCCCAACCTGCAAGAATTTGAGTTAAAGGTTGGTCTTTGTAAATATTATCCCTGCTATCTCGTCATCATTGCATGGCTTTACTACCTGTGTTTGTTGTCCTATATTGTTTATAGGTGTTAACTTAGTATATGAACTTATTTTATTTTCACTTGGTATGGGCAGCAAAGGTGGGCTAAAGTTGAAAGGTCAAACAACGAGATTCAGAAGGGATTGAAGCACTTCCCACTGCACCAGCATCTGAATGTTTTTCGTTTTTTAGGATATTATGGTTGCCCGAGTGACTTTGAATTAGTGAACTACTTGTTGGAGAACTGTATCGCGCTTAAGGAAATCATTGTCGATACCCAATCTCACCGACGCGTGGCCTACTATACACTTGATTCTAAACAATTAGAATTGGCTGAAATAGCAAAGGGTTACGCCAAACAGCAGCTGGAGCCGCTAGTACCTAACCACATTAGGTTATTTATATGCTAATCATTTTTGTGTTTAATACTCTTGTTTTCTTGGTAATTTATGCTAGGACCTGGTGTGATTTATTCTCTGTCTTGTGTTGTTGCGACTTGGATTGTTTATTACTATGAATGATACTTTGCTTTTGTTGTACTATCTTGCATGTGAAATATTTTGGCATCAGCTTATTTGGGGTTGTGTGTATTAGCAGTTCTCATCCCATTCTTCATGTTAGTGAGATCTATTTCCTTCACTGTTGTTGCTCGTGTAAAGTTTTTAGCAAGCTTTTGTTTACTTCATTTTTCTTGCTCGTGTGCGATTTATTAACAAGTATTGTTTACGTGTGTTTGGCCATAAACCGAAAGCCAAATTGTTCCTAAAATTAACAACTATTTGGCGAATTGCAAAATTAACAACTAGTGCGTACCTCGTGCGATGCAGCAGTGACAAAGATATTAAATGAGTTATTTTCATAGGCTTTGTTCGTTTAAGTCTAAAAAATAAATGGTTATGATATATTTTCTACCTCTTCTCATCAATGTTAAGTCTGAAAAATAATATGGTTGTAATCTATTTCCACATCTTATAATCAACGTTGTTTTTTAGTCAAAACATTAAATATGAGCATATTAGAGGTAGCTTGTAAAAGAATTAATATATTATCTCACTAACACATTTATAATAACATAAATTTGATTTTAGAATATACTAGTATTCATCATGTGCACATGCACAAAAAAATAATAATTTATATATTATATGTATGCATACATATATAAAATTTTATATTAGATAATGGATGTATTACATTTAAAATTTTGACTAAATGCAAATGTGTAATGTAAATATAAATTATTTAACTTACGGATAAATATTTATATTAATGCTATAATTTTTAATGGACAATATAATTTAGTAATCTAGAGAGATTATATATTTGATTAGTTAGAAAAGTGTTACAATTATTTTTATCACGGTTATAGCAATTGTCTAAATGATTTTAAGGTGTTTAATTATGACAATCATGTCAATGAACTAATAACAAATAAAAATCGCTTAAAAAGACCAAAAAAAAAATATTTTAGAAAAAGTATTTTAAAGAAAAAAAATGCAATACAATTTTTTATAAGTATGTAACTTCCACATACTATTTAATGTAAAATTATAATTAGTTAGTGTTAGTAGTAATATTATAATTATAAATTAGATTAACATTGTTATTAAATTTTATTAATGTAAAATGTAACGTTTCTACATCTTTGAAAAAAATGAGCGGAACAATTATGAAAGTTTTATTAAATAGGTTTTATTTAATGCAGCTGCCAGCAATTATATATATATATATATATACTTGATATAAGAGAAAATAACAGTTTTACTTATTCTTGTTCTCCATATAATACTTATTATTATTTTATTAGAAATTTTGTTGTCATATTATGTCATTATTATTTTTTAAAAGTTGTGTGTTTTCTTTTTCTTTTTATTTTATGTAATGATAAATATTTACTGCATGTTAGTATTATTTATTTATGTAATCAATTTAAAATATGTAAATAAATTTAAAATTAAATAGTGTATAGATATTTTACAAAACATACACACATATTTTTTGGAGTTTAATTTGTATACTAATTAAATAAATTTGATTTACAAAATGCCAAAAACTCAATCCTTTCGACGAGTTTTTTCTAATTTGCATTATAAGGATTTATAGTTATTTAGCATACACTGCAATAAAAATATATTTTACAAGAATTTCATTATAGAAATAAATAAAAAAGGATAAAAAAAATAATCATGGTTGCCAATAATATACAAATAAATTCTAAAGAATAGTTAATATATTTTAATTTTAATTAAAAATATATTTTACTAATATTTATCTTGACCAAAATATTATCAACCTAAATCACGCAAAATGAATCTTGTGATTAATTATAATAGATATCAATAAAATTATTGCAGATATTAATAAAATTATTTAAGAAAAAAATATTTTTGATATAGATTAACTTTCTTTTGTTTTCATAATACAAAATGAATTTTTTTCTTGTTTGTGTCTAATTTTTGTTTCATGAAATTATTTAAACTTACTTTAACACCTTTTTTTTTTTAATGACGTGTTTTCGCTCAAAATTAAATTTCTTTTGTTTTCATAACACAAAATGACTTTTTTTGTTTGGTGTGTGTCTAATTCTGATTCTTGCTCGTGTGCGATTTATTAACAAGTATTGTTTACGTTGTGTTTGGCCATAAACCGAAAGCCAAATTGTTCCTAAAATTAACAATTATTTGGCGAATTGCAAAATTAAATGACTTGTTTTTATTCAAAACTAGTGTGTACCTCGTGCGATGCACGAGACAGAGATATTAAATAAGTTATTTTCATAGCCTTGTTCGTTTAAGTCTAAAAAACAAAACAGTTATGATATATTTTCCACCTCTTCTAATCAGTGTTAAGTCTGACATATAATATAGTTATAATCTATTTCCCACTTCTTATAATCAACGTTGTTTTTTAGCTAGAACATTAAATATGAACATATTAGAGCTAGCTTGTAAAATAATTAATATATTATCTCACTAACACATCTATACAATATAAATTTGATTTTAGAATATATATTTATTCCTTGATATAAGAGAAAAACAGTTCTACTTATTCTTGTTCTCCATATAATGCTTAATTTATATTTTATTAGAAATTTTGTTGTCATATAATGTCATTATTATTTATAAAAGTAGTACATTTTCTTTGTCTTTTTATTTATGTAATGGAAAATATTTAATGCATGTTAGTATTATATATTTATGTAATCAATTTAAAATATGTAAATAGATTTAAAATTAAATAGTGTATAAATATTTTACAAAATATACACACATATTTTTTAGAATTTAATTGGTATACTAATTAAATAACTTTGATTTAGAAAATGTAAAAACTCATTCCCTTCGATAATCGAGATTTTTCTATTTCGCATTATAAGGATTTATAGTTATTTGACACACTCTACAATGAAAATATATTTTACAAGAATTTCATTATAGAAATAAATAAAAAAAAAATTGATAAAAAAATAATCATGGTTGTCAATAATATACAAATAAATTCTAAAGTACAGTTATTATA